TCCCATCCTTAATTATTTGTTATTTATTGATAACTCCTGACATGCTTAGCTGAAAAACACCAGTGTAAAGAACGGTCTAAGGGAAGTATTAACATATCTACTGTGTGTAGCATTTTCTAATGACAAGTTCAAGTAATATATTACTTTTCTCTTAAGTCTTGAAAAAACACCTTATTTCACACACTTCCTGTGACACCATCCTGCAGAAACTAGGTTGGTGGCACCTCTATATGTGGGTCCCTACCCTGAGGAAGTACAGAACAGAAGCTTTTGTACCACTGCACTCCACTACTGCATTGCCATGCCTTCCTTTTACCACCACATAGAATCACAGAGTGGTTTGGATTGGAAGGTACCTTAAAGATCGAGTTCCAACACCTTGCATGGGCAGGGACACTTCCCAGACCAGGTTGCTGCAAGCCCCATTCAACCTGGTCCTGAACACATCCAGGGATGGGGCATCCTCAGCTTCTCTGGACAACTTGGGCCAGTGTCTCATCACCCTCACACTAAATAATTTCTTCCTAATACTAACCTAAATCTACCCTCTTTCAGTTGGAAACCATTTCCCCTCATCCTCTTGCTCCATGCCCTTATAAAAAGCCCCTCCCCAGCTTTCCTGTAGTCTCTCTAGTTAGCAGAAGTTGCTCTAAGGTGCACTCAGAACCTTATCTTCTCCAGGTTGAAAAAACCCAACTTTCTCAGCCTACACACACTTTGCAGCTGACAATTTTTTACTGTAAACCACATTTTAAAATTCACTGTTGTTGACCGCTGCACCAAAGCAATTGTGCTACTGAACAGAACCTTATCATAATTATAAAAATACTTCAACAATCAACAGAATTATTCTGTCAAAGAACTTAGTGTTCTTCTCTATGCTAAAATCACAGAACATTAGAATGCTTTAGGACACACCATCTAGACTGGGAGTATAAGGCTGTATGTAAGCAGAAGTCTTGAAAGTCTCTCATGTCTAGACCTGTCAGAACTTTAGATAATTTTAAAGTAAAAATGACACTGAAAGAAGGGATTTTCATTTAAATAAAAAAATGCCACTTTGATTTCTGCAGAAAGGAAGGTAGAACACAAGCGTTTGTGAAGTGCAGTATTAACACATTAACGTATTGAAAAATAAAGCACAGGAAACAAGTGAAAACAATGTTAAAATACACTACTTAGCAGAATTTCTGACACGAAAAACAAAGTAAATTGGTGTACCTGCTCTGAATGCTGTCTTCCTACATAAGGGAATGTTAGATCACAGAAAAGGAGGTGAAGGGGCCATAGTGTACATACAAAATGTTTACAGTGAATAGTTTGATCTGTATCTTTACAGAAAAAACATGAGAAAATTTGCCATATTCTTTAATAGCAGCAGCTTTTGGCAATCAGCAAAATACAACTTCAAAGTAACACAATGGTGAAATTGTAATGTGTCCACTGCATAGTACCATCTGCTAGATTAAAAACAAACAGACAAACAATTAAAAGTGATCAAAATTACCTGCGGAACTCCTCAGAAACTATTACAATTCACAATCCATGTTGCTCATGGGAGATTTTAACAACACAGATTCATGCTTAATAATGCAAAGAGTCTGACACTGATGAAAGTGACTTCATGTTGCCTGCAAGAGAATTTTGTGATCCAGAAAGCAAAAACTTCAACCCCAGGAGAATCTGCCTTGCAAGCAGTACTTATTTATAGAGACTCCAAGACTAAAGAGAGCTGTAATGGAGGTAATCATAATTGATAGCTTGAATTCAGCATAGAAGCAAGAAAGAGGTTCAGAGAGTGCAAAAACAGAAGATGCAGCTGCATCAAGGAAATGCTGAGGCCTTTAGATATCTGGAAAGTAATATGGAATTAATATAGTTCAGCTTTTGCTTTCAGAGGATTGGAAAAGGTGCTCTCTTTCCATTATCTGTTTGCTAAATAGCTGCAGGAAGAAACTGTAAATACCAGATGTTCAGTGAAGTATCTCTTAACAGGCTGATAAACTTATTCCAGAACAACTGAATACATTTTGAAGTCATTGGTGCTCTTGCACTTCACATTACTTTGACCTAGGAAAAGCCTCATCATGTGGCTTCCAGCAATGAGGAGCAGCTGGTTTAAGTATCATTTATGGCTGAATGGCCAAAGATAGCAGTAGCTAATAAGAAAGATAGAAAGAAGACTAAATTTAAGTCTCTCCAGAAAAACTTGAGGTGTTAGGCCAGTGCTTCAAAATGGGAAGGATATGTAAATAAAACAGAAGGAAGCCCCAAAGGAGCAGAAGCATTGATGAGGTGTGGGTCATGAGATCAGCTCCATGCCTTCTGGGAATTTTCTTCATGGCCAAGACCTTAGAAAGCAACTGCAAACCTCACCCGTGCAAGAAGGAGACTCAAAAGATAGTCAAGGTGGTCCAAATACAGTTCCCTCTCATTTCAGCTGCACTACTGATTAGCAGATGCTGTTGGGATTAGTCAGAAGGATCTTGGATGTCCCGCAAAGCTTGCAGGACCCAGGTGTAATACAGCAGTTGTCTCATGCCTGGAAAATGCTACACATGATAAAACGGAATGGAATAATTTAGGAGATTAGCTAAGAAAAATTATGGTGGAGTGAAATGGTGGACTTAAAAAAAAAAACACAGAGACAACTCTGGAGAACTAGGAAAAACAATCTGACATGAACTACTTCAAGCTGGTGAGTGACATGAGAAGTCATTATTACAAAGCACTGGTATTTCAGATATCCTAAACTAGATACACTATTAGAAAATGCATCCTCGAGAACAGGCGTGCAATGACAGAAGAACAAGACTGCATGATTCATTTTTGCCTTTTTGTTCTTGATCTAGGATATTTCACATGTTCTGTGATGTGGATTAGCAATCTTTGAGCTTTGTTAGGTGAGTCTGAGACAGCAATCAGTAATTTACATAATTAGTGTAATAGTATTTAATTATATGATGAGTATAAACATGTGTGAAAGTCTAATGGTATAATTAGATTGTGTAATTACTACTTGTAATTACATAATTAGGTATGATGACGTAACTTAAGCTTCTCATTAAAAGAAGGAAACTTACATGTATAAGAACCAGCAGAGTGCACAATTATATTGCTGGCATAAAAAAAGCTATCATTTCAATGCTAGCTGTGCTAAAGCTAGCTAGCTCAAAAGCAGATGAAATGCTAAACAATGTGTTGACTTTCCTGAAGCAGAGCAGTTCTATGATTACTGTCAGCATGAACATTATTCCCATCCTTAATTATTTGTTATTTATTGATAACTCCTGACATGCTTAGCTGAAAAACACCAGTGTAAAGAACGGTCTAAGGGAAGTATTAACATATCTACTGTGTGTAGCATTTTCTAATGACAAGTTCAAGTAATATATTACTTTTCTCTTAAGTCTTGAAAAAACACCTTATTTCACACACTTCCTGTGACACCATCCTGCAGAAACTAGGTTGGTGGCACCTCTATATGTGGGTCCCTACCCTGAGGAAGTACAGAACAGAAGCTTTTGTACCACTGCACTCCACTACTGCATTGCCATGCCTTCCTTTTACCACCACATAGAATCACAGAGTGGTTTGGATTGGAAGGTACCTTAAAGATCGAGTTCCAACACCTTGCATGGGCAGGGACACTTCCCAGACCAGGTTGCTGCAAGCCCCATTCAACCTGGTCCTGAACACATCCAGGGATGGGGCATCCTCAGCTTCTCTGGACAACTTGGGCCAGTGTCTCATCACCCTCACACTAAATAATTTCTTCCTAATACTAACCTAAATCTACCCTCTTTCAGTTGGAAACCATTTCCCCTCATCCTCTTGCTCCATGCCCTTATAAAAAGCCCCTCCCCAGCTTTCCTGTAGTCTCTCTAGTTAGCAGAAGTTGCTCTAAGGTGCACTCAGAACCTTATCTTCTCCAGGTTGAAAAAACCCAACTTTCTCAGCCTACACACACTTTGCAGCTGACAATTTTTTACTGTAAACCACATTTTAAAATTCACTGTTGTTGACCGCTGCACCAAAGCAATTTTGCTACTGAACAGAACCTTATCATAATTATAAAAATACTTCAACAATCAACAGAATTATTCTGTCAAAGAACTTAGTGTTCTTCTCTATGGGCTAGACAATGGAGGTCTGGGTCACAGTTATCAACATTTATCTACAGAAGCATCTCCAGAAAGATAGTTTGACTAGGTGATTGACTTTCCAGAGTAAATCCCCAAAATATGACCGATAAAGACAGACTGTAGGTAGCATACTTTGCAATTCAATAATACTTTACTGATACTAGCAGAATTCTTCCACTACCTCAATATACTGGAAATCTCTGGGTTTTGTACATATATACTTCCTGTTATATGCTCTCCAAAACAGAAGTATGTATTCATGTGTGTATATATATATTCACACACACACAACCAAATTAGGTATAAAGCTTAACAGGTACAACTTCACAAAGTTTATTTTTACATATAAAAAATCAATAAGAAATAGCAGATGATGATCCACCAAATGCAATGATAATTTCAAGTAATAGCTCTGATTACCCCATTTTCTCTGAAAATCAATTTCAGAAGCTAGAGACATGTCAGATAAAGTAACACATTTTTGCTCTGCTCTTACACTTGTTGGTACCTGCTGATATTTACTGTTGAAGATGGGATACTTGGTGATATGAACCCTAGCCTAAATAATGTCTGTATTTTTCTACTTTGCAACACTTACTCCTTGATACTCCTTCATAAGAATTTTTTACTTTGCAAATGTTTCCATCATATCAGAAGTAATTAAGTCTCTTAATTAAGAGATTTGGTCTCTTAAATTTCCTCCATTTTGAAAAGTACAAGATGCATATTTTAATCATTATGTATTCATAGACTAGAGAAATATTTCCATAGTACACTATAGTTGTTTCTGAAAAAGAATTACTATTATTTTTATTTTTTTAAAAAGAAAAAAATATATAGAAAAATAATACTTACTCTGTTGGCAGTTTCTTCCCATAAATTCACCTGGACATTCACATGAATAATTGGCCACGAGATCTGTACAGATACCACCATTCTTGCAGGGTTCAGCTTCACATTCATTTACATCTGCAGGAATCAACACAAGATAATGTTAGGACTAGCAAAGAGAAATTTTAAAAAGCAATAAGCACATGTTTTAAAGCACTAAAACTCAACATATTTATGCAATTGACATTAGAAGACAGACATGAGCAAACATGCTGAGTAAAGGATGTGATTAATCAGGGTGTGCTTTATGAAAAAAAGCTCCAGAAAGGAATCTCATACAAATGTAACTAGTTTCATATACCTACTGAAGTTTTACTATGGCCTATCTCACAACAGAATTTAAAGTTTTGCTGAGGGATTTTAACTTCCAGAGGGATAAAGGTCACAAGTCACAGTTTGCCCTTAAATAAAACAAATTAAATCAGTTCTAACAGAGTATTCATTAGTGATCCTTGCTACTTCAAGAAATGTAGTTACTTCTTTATCAACAGATGCTAGTTAAGAATGTCTCTCAGCTCATCTTAATTAATTAAACATCTAATGACAAGGTTGTTTAACAGTCTAAAAAAATTTCTTTCTGTCCATGAGTTGATCTGCAAATTGAAACTAATCGCTTGATCTAGAAGCTTGCAAATTTCATTAAGTTCACAAAAGACAGAAAAGGTGGTTAATTTGAGTTTCCCTTTTCCAGTACATGTTGTCAAATGCCCCAAGAATAATAATCCCTTCCGTTTTTCAGTGCAGTAACCTTCAAATATGGTATCAGATTCTTTTTCTCAAATGCAATCTATTATTTTTCTAGATTTTTTTCTCATAAATAGGCAGATGAAGGATAATGATATCTTGTAATTAAAACTCTTTGTCTCTGTATTTATGCTTCTTCTGCATGGAGTAGACATGTTGACGGATTTTATACATCATTGTCTCAAATGGCTGCCTTGATGAATACATTTAAATGTTTAAATGATGGTAGCCCACACTGTTTTCATTAGGAGTTGAAGTCCTGTTGCATTATACATTATAAACAGAAAAGAGAAAACCAGTCTCTAGCTTGCACTTCACTCAGTTTTGCTGAAGACCATATTCCTTTTGGATACAGTTGCTGATAAAGTGTACATGTGCATAACACATATATAAGCTCAACTGAGAAGACACTTAAAAGAGGTGTAGCAGTTGCCTTCATTGGTGGGTAAAATACCCTGTGAATTGAAGGAATACTCCTCATTATTGTGTTGAATCTGCTTCTGTCCCTGAAATGTAAACCTCGTTTGTGCTGGTATATACAAACTAAAGAAGATGCTACATAAATATCTAAACCAAATCCTTTAAAGCCTGTGCAGAAGTAGAATTAAGCTCTGTCAACAAAACTAAGTATGTATTTTTTTCTACTTTTAACTGAATCTTTTATATTTACTATGAATGTCTGTAAAATAATTCAGTGGTTTAATACACATCTTGCCTAGCTCTCACTGATTTTTTCTGATGTCTCCACAGAAGTCTGTCCCTCCAGTCTTTCCTGCAGAGCTAGAAGGCTGTGTAGCTTTAAGCTGTGTGTGCAGTGTATAAGAGGTAAGCTGAAAACTGGCTGGATGCCTGGTCCAGAGGGTGTTGATCAGTAGTATGAAGACTGGCTGCAGTCCAGTGTACCCTGGACCCAGTATCAATCTGATCTTGTTCAACATCATAATTGTTGGTCTGGATGGTGGGGCAGAGCACACCCTCACCAAGGTTGCTGTCAGCACAAAACTGGAGGAGTGGCTGATTGTCAGCATGTCAAGTGATCCTTCCCCTCGCCACTGGTGAGGCCACACACGGAGTGCTGCAACCAGTTTTGGGCTCTCCAGTGTCAGAGTGCCATGGACAGTCTGGAGAGAATCCAACAAAGGGCAACTAAGATGATTAAGAGACTATGAGGACCAAGTCTATGAAGAATGACTGAGAGTTTTGCTTAAAGAGGAGGGCCAGGAGGAAACTCATCCATGTTTATAAATACCCAAAGGAAGGGTGAGAAGAAGATGGAGCCAAGTTCTTTTCAGTGTTGCCCAGTGACAAGAAAAGAGGAAATGGGCACAAACTGAAACACAGAATGTTCTTTCTCAACATCATTAAAAATATATTTTTTTACTGTAAGAGTGACTGAGCAGGGTCACAGGTTGCTTAGAGTCTTTGTGGAGTCTCCATCCTTGGACATAAAAAAACCCCACGTTTGGATATAGTCCTGGTGTAGCAGGGCACTCTGTATCAGTGTGCCTCAGTTTTCCTTTGTGATACAGTTTTTCTCCGTCTCTCAGCTTCACTGCCCTTACCCTGGAGTTGGAAAGTTTCCATGGAAAGCAAAGGGCACAGTAAACTCTGAACTTGTAACTAAGAACATGGAGCCCAGCTTGGCTCCAGCTAGGCCAGACAGAAACCAAACATGAATGGATAGATAAATGAAATAATTTTCTTAGTGATGGAAAAGGCTTTCTTGGTTTTTCCTTTGTTTCTCCTTTTTGTTCTCCAACTGAGGTTTCTGGAGGTATGGCTAAGTAGTTAAATGACAGCAGTCAATCACTTCATTCTATAAAAGCCTGGTTCCGTCTTTGACGGGGGAGACTCCTGTACACTTTCCCTAGGAGGTGTGATGGACCTTCTCCCCTCCTCCAGGAACATCAGCTTGAGTGATTACTCCTCAGGATTTTGACAGAAAAAGACATCTGGCTGCAGCCTAATAAAGGCTAAGATATATCAAATCCCTATACATGAATTTTTCTTCATTTCTTAATTTGCTAATTTTAAATACTAAAGACAGTTTTTACTTTTAAGCTTTGAAACTTTAAGACTTTGGGATCCTTTTAAACATAAGGGAAAAGACTGTGATTATTGTATTATCACATTGCCTACATGTATTATTTTAATCACTGTTCCAGATCTAAGACCTATAAATATATAAGTTGCTACCACTCAAACCATTAGCCTTTGCGTAATAGTTATTGACTATTTACATTAGTGTACTTTATTGTTAAGGTACCTTCTTGTTTTGTTATATTAATATCTTACCCTAATATTCTAACATTCAAGTAATCCAGCATATGCCTTTTTAGTCTAAACTTCAAGATCCTTTGTTATTTACAATAAAGCTTGGTTTTGTATATGCACATCTTGTCTGCTATCTTGGGCAACCAGATGTAGGTGGCACTGCTTGAGCATGAGGGGTGGACCAGATGACTTCCAGATGTCCCTTCCAATCTCAACCATTCTGTGATTTGGTGATAATCCTCCAGTTGCTGTGAACAGAACTGCAGGGACAGACCTTCAGCTAAATGTGGAGGCTTTCTTTGAATAAAAAAAAATATTCAGATTTTTATACTAAAATTGATGTTACTGATCTCTAAGCTTCTTTTTAATGCCTCATGTCTTACTATTTGTTGCGTATGAGATAACACATAGTGGAATAATAAAAATTCAGAGAGTTAGCTGCATTTCTCTCTATTAAAGAGGAAGAAGAGAAGTAACAGTTTAGTGTGTGAGAAATAAAACCTGCCAAGGAAAATGACCAAAGAACAAACCTGCTCAATTGTAAATTAAATTCCTTATATGTATTTATAAAATTTAACAAGGTTCTTTAGCTCCCTATTTGCCTTTTAAGCAAAGCCCATTAACCTCGTATTTTCATCAGGTTATTCATCATTTTAATACAAGCTAACACATTTGTGGGGAAAAAATACCAAGGTCACTGTGAACTAAATAACATTAAGTGAACACATGAACTATCTCTTACTTGGTGAAATAAAGGTAGTAATTTATCCTTTTAAAAGCTTTTCTGCGTAAAGATAATATCTTCTCAAGATAATTAATTTTTTTCTAATTTGCCATTTATATTGAACTATGTAAGAAAAAAAAAGGCATGACTTTCAAGCATATTTCATATTGTCTATGCAATGATGTAGAAAACACACTAAACGTTATGTACCAGATACTTTTAAAACAATCCTCTTATTCTGTCCCTATGGAGCAATTAGGTATGAACAGTGCGGAAAGATGGAATTTTTTATTATTATCTTTGTTGCCTGAATCCTACAGTCATTTTTTGCAGTAATTTGAGAACCTTTAGTCCCATCACTTCAAACAAATATGTCACATGCCACGAATGAAGAAAGACTAGCTCATTGTAGCATCATATTTGACACCAGAACAGACATTTAGTTGAAAGATAATGAAATGAACTGTGTTAAAGAAAATAGCGTGAGTTCTACAGAAGTATTTGATTTAATATTCATTATTTAATTTGACTACATGTGTAGATGAGCATGTTATTCAAAGTGGTTCCTGCAAATTGTGGTCAACTTTTGTTCAAATTCCTAAATGTGCCAATTATGATACTAAATTTTACACAGCTGAAATAATTATATACCCTTTTAAAGTTTGTCATATTGTCATGCTTAGAAGCAAATTCAAACAGAAATTTTAAAATGCCAGAGTTCCTGGACTAGCTGGTACTAATGACAATAAAGTCTCCTAAAGGAAACCTCTCAGTATGTTGTCAGATACAAACTCTTCACTGACTATGCAATCAACCTACCTACACTAGAAGGATGTACTTTTAATATAAACTAATTAATACAAAGTAAAATCACTGTAGGTTGTTCATGATTTTTCAGGTAAGCTTAGGTTTTAACCTGGCTCACATTTTGAAGTGTAGTTTACATAAAAATCTTACACAGTGTAGCTGAGTACTGTGCACTATCAAAGAATCCAGAGTTCATCAGAGAAGGACCTAGTGAAGTTTAAATACTGGGTGAAATGGGCTCCTGAAGAGGTTACAGTGCCAGCACAGGAGAAGCCTGTATTTCTGAATAGTGTCCAGGTTAGCTAAAAAACAAACAAAAAAACAACCAAAAAACCAAACCAAAACAAAAAACCCCAAGAAAACAGAAGAAAACCCCAAAACCAAGAAAACAAAACCCAAATAAAAACAAACAAGCAGATTATAAGCTCCATACCCAGTCCCTCAGGATTTCTCTACTGAGGATGGATACTGAAATTGATAGTGCAAAAACAAGGAAATAATAGATACTGATAAAAGACTGTTCCCCAAA